TTTGTACGTGGAGCGACGCCCCCGGTTTTGTATCTCGGGCTGTCCCGGTTCTGTAGCGACAGGAAATAAACGCGATGAGTTTTTTCTTCAGCGGGAGCCAAAAAAACGGCGGCGGAGGCGGCGGGAAACGGGAGGGGGGGAACGGAAATATCGGGGGGACAGCGGGCGGAATGTTTGAGTTGGGGCGCGTTTCCGGGGGGAAAGCGTGAGGGATGGATCGCGCGCGGGGGGGAGCGGGAAGGGACGGACCACTTCCGGCGGAAGTGACTGAGGGACGGGCGCGGGAAGCCGCGATCGCCATGGAAGCGGCGCCGGGCCCTGATCCCGAGCCAGACGTGGACCCGGAGCACGAGCCCGTAACGGGCCCGGTGCCGGTGACTGACCCGGCCACAGACCCCGACGTGGAGCCGCTGCACCGGGGCGGCTTCCGCTGCCGCCTGTGCCAGATCACCGCGGCCAACCGTGAGTGAGGGCCCGGGGGCTCCGGGACCGCGGTCGCAGGCGCTGGGGGGGCTGTGATTCCTCCCCGGTGCTCGGGGGAGCTCCGAGACCTCAATTACCGGGACGGGGGGCTCTGAGATCCCGGTTAACGGGACTGTGGGCTCCAGGATCCCGGGACCCTTCTGTGAGTCCCCGGTGCCCGTGTCCACGGGGAGCTCCAGGACCCCTTAACCAGAACGTGGGGGGAGGGGGGCTCCCAGACCCCGTTTTACCGGGACCGGGGAGTCTCTATTACCCCATTACCGGCACCGAGGGAGCTCCGGCACCGCCTTTACCGGGACCAGAGATCTCCCGTTCCCCAATACCCAAATTACCGGGACTGGGGAAACCATGAGACCCCCAATTCCCGGTACCAGGGGCGTCTCTGGTCTCTGTTACCCCAATTCCCGGTACCAGGGGCGTCTTTGGTCTCTGTTACCCCAATTCCCGGTACCAGGGGTGTCTCTGGTCTCTATTACTCCAATTCCCGGTACCGGGGGGTCTCTCCCGTTCCCAGTGACCCGAATCACCGGGACCGGGAGGAGCTCCGTTACCCAAATTCCCGTTCCCGGGGGTTCTCTCCCGTTCCCGGTGACCCCAATTCCCGTTCCCGGGGGTTCTCTCCCGTTCCCGGTGACCCCAATTCCCGTTCCCGGGGTTTCTCTCCCGTCCCGGTGCCCCCCCAGGTCCCAGCCTGCAGTCGCACCTGGCCGGGAAGCGGCACCGGCGGCTCCGGTGTCTCCGGGCCGAGCGGCGCGCGCAGGAGCAGCGGAGCCTCTTCGTGAGCGGCTTCCCCCGGGGCACCGAGCCCGCGCTGCTGCGGCAGCACTTCCGAGCCTTCGGGGATGTCGCGACAGTCGTGATGGACAAGGAGAAGGTGCGGGGGGAGGGGGCGCAGCAGCGCCCCGGGCGCCTCTGGGGACGTCGCGACTGTCGCGATAGTCAAGGAGAGAGCGAGGGGGGATCCGGTGCCCCTGGCGGGCGGAACTTGGTGGCCACCGGGGAGGATTCAGTGGCCCTAGGCGATCTTGCGGCCCCTCCCGTGGTGGGGGGATATCGCCACTGTCACGATAGTCTCGGGGGAGGGGTGGCCCTGAGGGGGGATTTGGTGGCCCTGAGGGGGGATTTGGTCGCTCTGAGGGGGTTCCGGTGGCCCTGAGGGGGGATCCGGTGGCCCTGAGGGGGGATTTGGTGGCCCTGAGGGGGGATTTGGTGGCCCTGAGGGGGGATTTGGTGTCCCGGAGGGGGGATTTGGTGGCCCTGAGAGGGGATTTGGTGGCCCTGAGGGGGGATTTGGTGTCCCGGAGGGGGGATTTGGTGGCCCTGAGAGGGGATTTGGTGGCCCTGAGGGGGGATTTGCTGGCCCTGAGGGGGGATTTGGTGTCCCGGAGGGGGGATTTGGTGGCCCTGAGGGGGTCTCCCGCCTCCTCCCCTGAGCCCTCCCGTGGTGGGGGGATATCGCGACTGTCGCGATAGTCCCGGGGGGAGTCCCAGCGCTCACCGCGCCCCTCCCCAGGGCGCGTTCGCCATCGTGGAGCTGCGGGAGCCCGCGGGGCGGCAGCGGGCGCTGGACGAGCCCCGACATTTGCTGGGGGGGCGGCGGCTGCGGGTGCGGCCCCGGGAGCACCGGGACTTCCCCCGGCCCCGCCCCCGGGACACCCCCGGGACCCCCCCGGGACCCCCGGGGCTGCTGCAGGCGCTGGGCCAGGCCCAGGACGTGAGTGGGGGGGGGGGGGGTTTGAGGGGTCCCAAAGTTCTCCCAGGGTTTTTAGGGAGCTCCCAGTGCTCCCAGTGCTCCCAGTACGGGATTCCTGCGGATGGGGGGCGGTGCTGGTGTGGGCTAGGGGGGCTCCCAGTGCTCCCATTAAACCCAGGGGGTGACTACCAGTGCTCCCAGTAAGGCCAGAGGCGGCTCCCAGTTTCCCTTTAAGGCCAAGGGGTGGCTCCCAGTGCTCCCAATAAGGCCAGAGGCGGCTCCCAGTGTTCCCAGTAAGGCCGGGGGGGGTGCTCCCAGTGCTCCCAGTGTTCCCAGTAAGGCCAGGGGGGTGCTCCCAGTGCTCCCAGTTTGCCCAGTAAGGTGTCCCCGCAGGTGGGGGCGCAGCTGGAGCTGCTGGTGCGGGCCCTGGAGCTGAGCGCGGCCGAGCGGCGCCTGCGGGAGCTGCTGGTGACGCTGATCCGGGAGGTGTTCACCGAGTTCTTCCCAGGTGAGCACACCTGGCACGGCTGGCACGGCCACAGCAGGGTGCCCCAGGTGTCCCCCAGGTGTGCCCCAGGTGTGCCCCGCACCTGTCCCCACCTGTCCCCCGTGTCCCCCCCCCCAGGCTGCTCCGTTGTCCCCTACGGCTCCTCCGTCAACGGCTTCGACGTCCACGGCTGCGACCTCGACCTGCACCTGGAGCTGGGGGGCGGGGACGGGGACCCCCAGAGCCAGGAAACCCCAAACGGGGATCCCCAAACCCAGGAGACCCCAAACGGGGACCCCCAGAGCCAGGAAACCCCAAACGGGGACCCCCAGAGCCAGGAGACCCCAAACGGGGACCCCCAAACCCAGGAGACCCCAAACGGGGACCCCCAGAGCCAGGAGAC